CTAGACACTAGTAAAGATCTCAAGAAAGTCTGTCTGGACATTAAAGGAAGAGGTAGTCTACAGAAGGTTGGAGGAGTATTGGAGTCTTCAGATAGCCAACACTAGGTAACAGTTATGCATAAGTGTGTGTGTGTGTGTGTGTGTGTGTGTGTGTGTAAAAGAGAAAAATATCTCTATTTTGCAGTTTTTAGTTTCATACCTTTCCTGGGAATGAAATTCACAGCTATTACCCATTATCATTTGAGTTATAGTCTCCTTGGGATTTGTATGTTGAGTCCCTAGTCCCCAATATGCATTTGTAAACTGGGCCTTTAAGAAGGCATTAGGGTGAAATGAGGTCATAAGGGTGGGGTCCTTATCCAACAAGACCAGTGACCTAAGAACAGGAAGTGATCAGAGACCTTCCTCTCTACATGTACTAAGGGTTCTCTACAAAAGCAGTCAGTGCTTTTAACCCCTGAGCAATTTTTCCACCTCCAAACCGTACTTTCTAAAATTCACCTACTACGGAAACCTAAAGAAATAAATTAAAACCTTTCTTTTTTCTTTCACAAAAATGTCATAATAGGTGTGCATAGCTTTGGGGTTTAGTTGCATAGGCTTTAGTTTTCTACAGGCTTGTCATGTGAGTATCTTTCCTTGCCAATAAATATGGAACATCATCCTAAATGGTTGCATAATACTTTACTTTAGAGATTTCCACAATTCATTAAGTCAGTCTCTCATTTATAGACATTTCAGCCTGGTCTCAGAAACCAGAATATTCCTTCTCTCTGTGCATTCATAGCAATGGATTATTTATAGAAGGTTCTGCTTACTTCGTTATTACCCTAGCTACTTGTAGGGAGATCAAACAACAACCACACCAGCATGATGGAATTGGGCTTGCATAGGGTTTAATTTGGACATATAATTTCAAAATTCCATTAGCATAATTACCTGAAGCTGTGCCTGAGTTTCACACCTCTAGAGTATTGCTCAGAAGTTGAAGCTGGTCTTTTGTAACCTCCTTTGTGCAAACTTCCCTGATTTCACTGTGTTCTGTGGCGTATGGCCTTGTGGGTCTCTCCATCCGGGCATGGCTGCTTCCACCTGAGTCTCCCTGAACAGTGCCCGCCACCGAGGCAGCTGTACCAGGATTTGACTTTGGGTGGGTGAGATGAGGGGATGAGAAGGGCAAAGGTGAGTGACGAGTAGAGGAGAGCCTGAGGAGCTAGGTTTAATTAGCCCTCCTCAGAGCTACAAGCCTATCAGTTGCACTGCTCACAAATCCATCTGAGAAATCAAAGGCCATATTCACTCATTCAACTTATATTTATTGAGTGCCCAGTCTGTGAAGCCCGGCACCTGGGAGTGTCTATAATCATATTCTGATTATAAGTTATTGTCTATTTCAGTTGTTACATTAACAGATCTGAAAACTTAACCATTTTCCAGTAGATTCTATCAGAAGCAAAACCATTCAATAGTCAGGGTCTGCATAGATGGAATGGGGTGGGGGACATTGAGATAGTGGAGTTCTCCTCAGATAAGGGTGAGACACTGTGGTATTTGAATGCAATTGGTCCCCAAAAGATCATAGGGAGTGGCACTATTGGTAGGTGTGGCCTTATTGGAGGAAGTGTGTCACTGTGGGGGCCGGCTTTGAGGTCCCTTATGTTCAAGCTACGCCCAGTGTGGACAGACTCCTACTGCCTACTGATCAAGATGTAGAACTTCTCTAGTACTGTGTCTGCCAGCATGCAGACTATGTCTCTAGTACCATGTCCCACCATGTTGAAAATGGACTAAACCTCTGAAACTTAAGCCAGTCCCAATTAAATGTTTTCCTTTATAAAAGTTGTCATGGTTACAGTGTCTCATCACAGAAATAAACAACAGAAACCCTAAGGCAAAAATTGGTACCAGGAGTGGGGTATTGATGTGATAGGCCTGACTATGATTTTGCTTGGAGGAATTTGGACTTTGGGAATTTGGGTTAGGAAAACAGCAGAATGCTTTAAGTGCTGCTTAATTGGCTACACTAGTAGAGGCCTGGAAGACTGTGGCGCTGAGGGTTATTTGAATTGTGGGGGCATGGTTCAAAAGGTTTCAAAGGAGCATGTGGCCTGGAGACTGTGTGAGAGTCAAAGTGTCATTTTAAGTTTTAATTACTATGTCTAATAGATCCATGAAGCAAAAATGCCTCTGATCTGCAAGTCCCTTACCCAATGACAGATAATTTCTGAAATTCTGGAGGCTATAGTTTATGGGAGATAACAACCCAAGTGTATTAACTAACTCCCTTAGATAAGTTTGTTGAGCCCATCCACACCAGATGTGCTTGATCACATGTGGGCAGGAGGCTCACAGACAGCATGCTTGCCCCTGATAGGAAATGCAACGAATTATGGGTTTTCCTTCTTAAGCTGCTGCAAACTGATTCAGGGCCATTTCCTGGGAACCTGGCCAGAGCCCATCCACCTGGGCAGTATTTAATTAAATCTTGCTTTAAATTTGGCTTTAAACTGTGGTAGAGGTCTTATTCTTGACCAGTAGGATTAACAACTGGTCTTATATTTTGGTGGAAAATGTGGCTGCATTTTGCACGTGTCTGAAGAATCTACCTGAAGTAAAAATGAAGAGATTTGGATTAATTCTGTTGACACAGGAAATCTCAAAATAGCCTAGCATAGACTCTGTTCATGTTTTTAAAGATTTATAGTGAAAAGGAGCAGTCTGAGCAGGTTAAAAGAAAGATGCTGTGGCCAGCCACTTGTCAGGGACCGCCCTGAGTGGAGGCCTAGAGAAGCCATTTCATGACGCTGTGAAGTTGAAACCTGGCTTGCCTTGGAGAACATAAGGCATTAGAGATACCACAGTTGTGGAATACCTGCTGAGGAGAGCTGCTAACAGGGAGTGGAGCCAGCCAAAGAGAAAGAAGTGTGTTGCAGTCAACAATGCAGAACGGAGCTGGAGATCTGAAGTCAACAATGCAGAACGGAGCTGGAGATCTGAAGATCGTTTTGACATTAGATATTGAGAGACAGAGTTTGGAGTTTGCCCGGCTGGGTTTTGGTCATGCTTTGGTCCAGTATTTCCTCACTATGCTCCCTTCTCTATGTGTTAGAACGGTAATGTGTATCCTGTGCCATTGTACGTTGGAAGTATGTGATCTGGTTTTCTAATTTGGATTTCATAGTGGATTACAGCATGAATCTCAGAAGAGATTTTGAACTGTGAACTTTTAGACATTATTGAGACTGTGATAGACTATGGGGACCTTTGAAGTTGAACTAAATGTGTTTTGCATTATGATATTGCTACAAGTTTGCGGGGAAGTGGGAGTGGTTTGAATGAAAGTGGCCCCTATAAGCTCATAGGGAATGGCACCATTAGGAGGTGTGGCCTTGTTGGAGTAGGTGTGGCCTTGCTGGAGAAAGTGTGCCACTGTGGAGACAGGCTTTGGAGTATCTAATAGGTTTTTACCCTCCCCCCTACCCCTATAATAGGTTTTTCTAACAATGCAGTAAACCAGATCAAGCAAAATTGAAAAAGCATAAAAACACGTTTATTTGAGCGAAGCAACTCCTGGTGGGCTCTCCAATCCAGAGATCAAGGCTGGAGAAGTCACTCCCACAAACAAAAACAGGGAGACTTTGTAACGTGTATTCTTTCGTCCAGCAGCCTGGGTCCCGCCACTGTCTCAGCCCCAAAATAACACACTCAAGACACTATATTAATTATGAGGCTGTTGGCCAGTTACTATGGTTTCTTAATGGCTAGCCCTGACTTAATTATTAATCCATAATTAGTAATATATTTATATAAGGACTTATCTTTCCGAGGACGCATCCTGATGTGTCGTCTCCTCCTGGGATCACACGGCGACTCTCCACTCTTGACTGCATTTCCCAGAATCCTCCTCGACTCCTAGTCCCACCTGTATCTTGCATCCCTATTGGCCAACAGTACTTTATTTATCAACATATACACAGAAGGACTTCCCCCATCAAGACTTTATAGGTTGTAGTCCAGGGGTGATGATGTGTTCACCGCAAGCTGAGTTTGTGTTCGAGTGTGGTCAAAAGCTGAGCACTTAGTTGGGAACTTGAACTGCTGGCAGCAACAGAGGAGGAAGTGACGACAGTTGCCACAAATGGGGAATGGGCTTTTTGTCACCTTTCCTTTGTTGGAGACTCTCTGAAAGAGTAAGGTCTGGAGAGAGAGACAGGAATGGGACTTTCTGGATCAGGCAGCAGTGAGCTGGCGGTTCCAACCAAACATCCCAACATTTTTGGATATGTGAGTGTTGGTTCAAATCAGGCTACCTTCTGTTGGCAAGGGATGATGTGGGGAGGGGCATCAGGAGTCAATGGGTCTGTGCTCAGTGGGAGGTATGGGTGAAGTAGCATTTGGTTAACTGCCACCCTGGAGACCTTGCGAATCTATTCCTGGAAGAGGAAGAGAAATCAGGGTGCTAGGAGAAAAAACAGACAGATTATTACTACCAGCCCTATAAACAGGGCTAGCCATGGGAAGTGAAAACTTCCAAAAAGAATGGAAAAGAAATGTGCCCTGGGAGCATTGGCGATGTTCACTGGACAGTTTGTGGGGTGACTCCACCAGGCCAAATTCTCTGATACAGTAGCAGCACTCTTTCCCAGGAACATGCAGGTGTCTGCAAAACAGCTGGCACAGATTACACCTTGGTGTCAAAGCAAAGGCTACCGCTTTGAGTTAAAGACCATGAACATGTTTCCTATGTCTGGAGAGCCTGGTTTTATCCTAATAAAATGCACCTTTAAGTCAATACCTAGAAGGCAACTAAAGGAAATTTAAAATCTTGAGCTTGTGACTGACTGAACATAGTCAGCGATCTGTCAGTTTATCGGAACCCCATTTATCAATGCTAAAACTCTGAAACTGAAATCCCAGTGTAACAGCAGTATAGAAATCTGAAACATCTTTACATACCTTAAATCATTTACTTATGACTTTACAACTTGCATTTATACATCTTAAATCATTTTCTGTGTTTATTTAGTGGCAAATAAAATCTGTTTAACCTTTACTATGAGGCCTGTGAGTGAGGCAAACCTGTCTGTATTTTTCACAAGAAATTTAACTAATGAGCTACCAAGGTGGTTGTAGTCTTTGGGGATGAAGGAGTTGTTAAAGTGGCAAAGTATCGCTAGCCTAGTTGTCAAACACCATCAAATCTGAGAAGGATAAATCTCACTTGAGTTAGCAGAAGTAGAAACCAAGCAGACCATGTCTGCCTGCAGACCACCATGTCCCACCATGATGACAATGAACTAAACCTCTATTTTCCTTTATAAGAGTTTCTGTGGTCATAGTGTCTCTTCACAGCCACAGAACCCATAACTGAGACAGACAGTTGGATAGCTTCCGCCAGCTCTGATGACACCATCACACACAAGCGTCTCCCATGCTGGTGGAACCGCAATATACTGTGTGTGAAGGGAATAACTCCAATGGGAATCCAGAATCTGCCTGAGGATTGGGGAAACGTGGGGCACCCCTTTGATTCCACTACTCAGGAAACAGAAGCAGCCAGATCTCTGAGAGTTCAAGGTCAACCAGAGTGACATAGTAAGACCCTGTCTCAAAAGTGCCTGTCTTCTGGAACTCCAGCTTTTGTGTATTACATACATTTTCCCTTAGCTGTTTCAGTTTTGCTTTTCTTTACCAGTGCCCTTTTGAAAATGCTGGCCTGTGTTCTTTATTCATGGAGTTTCTTTATTCAAGTGACTTTGTGAGTGCTCAGGATGAACAGTCACCCAGAGACAACACAACTGGCACAAGAACCAAAGTCATGGGACTATAGTGACTTTCTTCTTTTGACCAACATCAATCCTCCCCCTTCTTCCTTTTCTTTTTAATCTCCTTTTCCGTCTTTCTAGTCCGAGCTGAAATGTATCCAGATCTCCTGAGACCTAAGCAAGACACTATGCAGAACTGGAAGCCAAGACTTGACCTCAAGGGCTCCCAGCTAAGGGACTCCCCAATGATGACAGAAATCGCAATAGGGCTCTACCCTCCAGTGCAGGAAAGCCATTAACAACATCTCCCGGCAAGAGATGGGCTAAGCGGGCCCATTGCTGGAACAGGGAGTAACATTAGAAGGACAGTGTCTCAGGTTTCCAAGTGGTTTCAATACAGTTCCTGTATTACAGTGTTGGGTGGTTTGGACACCCTCTTACAGGAAAGATTTGGGGCTTTGTCCACACAGGAACCATCTAGCATATCCAAGCCTTGAACAAGTCAAACTCAACCTGTGCCGTGCAGGTGGCTTTTGGAGGTTGGTTGAGTAACAGTGTGCACATAGACCCCATCGGGCCAGCTGGTGGGCAGGGGAATCTGACCACATCTCTGATGTTTGTCCTCGGTGCCGGCAACAAATGATGGGAATTCGGAGAAAAATGCAATTGTGGGCGAGTTACTTGACAATCCCCATTGTTTGTTTGCTGACTTTTATTTTTAGACTTTAAAATTGTTCCCATTGTTAACTCCTCTGGGCATATGTATAGATCAACGAAGTTACACAGCCAGCAGGCTGAAAACAGCCAGGCCGCTCCGGAAATGGTTTCAAACCAATCTTGACTGTCACTTTCTCAGATCAAACCCAGAACCAATGTCCATATTTTTGTTGTTGTTGTTGTTGTGGTTGTGGTTGTTCTCTGTCAGGGCAAGGGAGGCTGGATTTCAGACAGGGAGGCCAGTACAGTTAAGAACAGATACTTGCCCTACGGGTTAGAAACACAAGAATGGCATCCTGCTTAGACATTGCTAATTCATCCTCGAGGACCCAGTGTAGCCCTCCCGGCTGCGAGGGAGTGAGGCAAGGGTGAGGGAAACTCAGGAGGGGACTGGGATTTTTCTCGTTTTTATTTATTTATTTTTCTTTTTAAAAAGTGGTATCCCCTAGCGAGTGAGTGACTCTAGGAGAAAAGGAAAAGCTATTTTTGACCAAGAACTCTCCTTTAAAAATATTTATTTTATACGTATGCGTGTGCACTACGCGCGTGCCTGGTCAGAAGAGTGCTGGATGCTCTGGAACTAGGGATAGGTTGTTGTGAGCGGCTCTGTGGGTGCTGTGACTAAACGGGGGTCCTCTGCAAGAGCAAGTGCTCTTAGACACTGAACCATCTCTCCAACCCCCAACACTGCGCTCTTAACCACTGAACCATCTCTCCAACCCCCAACACTGCGCTCTTAACAACTGAACTATCTCTCCAACCCCCAACACTGCGTCTAATGCACTAGACCCACTTAGGTTTGGAGAACTGGAATAGGAAGTCGGCCAGGTAAATGGGTGGGTTCAGAAGACAGGAGCCAATCAGATGCCAGCGTTCTCAATTCCACCGCCTGCCCTGAGCAGAGCATGTAAGGGAGATGGTCCCAGCTCCCTGCGGAGGTGGCAGGAGGTAGGAGGGGAGACAGGCTGCTTGTGAAGGCTGTGGGGGGATTTTACAAGTGTGAGACAAGAACAGAGTGTTTCAGAACTGGGAGAGATAAAGCAAAGGAAGCACTGGGTGGCAAGCGTTGGGAGTGAGACCAGTGAGGAGCTGAAGCTGGAGAGTCCTCAGGAACCAGGGGGAAATAGAGCCGGAGAAAATGAGCCAACGGGGAGGTACAAGGTCCAGTTCCTAATAACTCTGATGTGTCAGAGAAATAAAACACAGTCTATTCAAAATGAAACTCAAGGTCGGGTGGGGAGACGGCTCAGAGGGTACGGTGTTCGCCACAAGAGGCTTAGGACCAGGGTTCAGAGCCCCAGGATCCACATAAAAGCCAGGGAGCTACGGCAGCTCACCTGTAATCCGGGAAGGTGAAAATTCGACCTGCACAGTGAGCTAGCCAGTAAAATCGCTTGAATTGGTGCTTTAATCCCAACACTCGGGTAATCCGGGAAGGTGAAAGTGCAAACTGCACAGTGAGCTGGCCAGTAAGATCGCTTGAATTGGTGCTTCAATCCCAGCACTCGGGAGACAGGGTTTCTCTGTGACTTTGGAGCCTGTCCTGGGACTAGCTCTTGTAGATCAGACTTGGTCTCGAACTCACAGAGATCCTCCTGCCTCTGCCTCCCGAGTGTTAAAGGCATGCGCCCTCATGGTCCGGTTTAAAAGTGTTTATAATAAAACGTTGGTATTTGGAGGGACCTGAGCAAATGGGAAGGTCTGAACTGGAACCTGGACATCGGGGTGAGTACTCCGTCCCCCCCTCCCCCCCCCCAGCTTTGTTTCAACACTGGTTCCTAAGATATCCTTGTAAGTGTATCCATTCTATGCTTGCTCTTCTCCTTGGAGCAAAGTCTCAAGGTCTCTCTGCATATAATTAACCCGCCACCCAAGAAGACAACAGTTCAAGGGTTAACCGGCCTGACATTTCACAAGTGAGGTTTCCACGATAAAGCAGCCTTTTCTAACTCTGTCTGGTAAAATCTCCCCAGAAATATCTGTCTTTCCTTTAACGTATATAATGTCATTAAATAGGTTGCATTAAGAAAAAGGGGTGTCTTTTACCTGGCACACAGTTGAATGCATGGTGAAGGTTGGGAATTTGTGTTGACTTGTTTAATTTTGTTCAGGCCCATGCCTCTCTTGGATGTCGCTGATCCAGCATCCCCAAGGATCCGGTACTGACTGATTGACCACCAGTCTCTGTTCTTGACATGAAAGTACCCACATGGAAAATGAGGGATTAGTATCCGAAATAAATAGATATAAAGATTTACAGGAGATGTGGACGGAGGAAAAGGCATGCTCAAAAGCTTACAGAGCTCTGGGATGCGATTCCTTTAAACTACACAAAAGGATGAACTGGTAAATAAGTAGATCTGGGAACGAGGTAGTACCTGTCAAGTGAGAGAAAATTCAGGAGACCGTGCACCTGTGTATGTGGCCCTAGATGCCCATGGCTGGTGGGAACAGCCCAAAAGACTAAGAAGGGATTAGAGACGGGGTTTCTTCTTCCGTCTCCTCTGCTTCTCAGCTTTGTGATCTAACTGACTGCTGGGTGTCTTCCTGGTGTGTGGAAAGGATCGTGCCTGCCCTGAGTAGTTGTGGGTCATTAATCCACACTGAATTTGCTGTGTGTGGAAGGGATACCTACCTGGCAGCATCCAGGACAAGCACAAAGACCAGAGACCTGGAAGATGGTGCACAAAAGAAGAGAATGCCTGTATTAGTGTGGTTTTAATTACTATGCCAAAATACCCATTGTAAAACACAGAGCAAAGGCCAGGTGTGTTGCCAAATGCTTTTAATCCCACACTTAGGAGGCAGGTGGATCTCCTATGAGTTGGAGGCTAGCCTGGTCTACATAGTGAGACACCACTGCAAAAGCAATGCCCAACAGCAACAACAAAATCTGAAATATAAAAAGAAAATGTGGGGCCGGGCGGTGGTGGCGCACGCCTTTAATCCCAGCACTCGGGAGGCAGAGGCAGGTGAATCGCTGTGAGTTCAAGGCCGGGCTGGAACGACAGCCTCCAAAACAATACAGAGAAACCCTGTCTTGTAAAAAACAAAACAAAACAAACAAACAAAAAAACAAAAAGAGAATGTGGGGTTTCCGCGGACTTTGTATACATGGCGGGTTCTCCCGGGTTCTCCCGCCAGCGCCCTGGCCCCCTGCCGTCCGCCGCCCAGGCTCCCGGGCCAGGCCTCGCTTCTGCAAGCAGCGCCTGGGACTCCAAGACCATCTAACAGCACTTTGGTGGATGAGCTGGAGTCGTCTTTCAAGGCTTGCTTTGCCTCCCTTGTGAGTCAGGGTTATGTCAATGGAATTGATCAGGAGGAGATTCGAACTGGTGATCAGTGTATCCAGACAGACAGAATGTTTTTTCTTACAAAAAAGGTTGCAGTTGTCTGTCCAGAAACCAGATCAAGTTACCAAAGAGGATGTCTCAGAACTAAGGAGCGAACTGCAGCGGAAAGACGCGCTGGTCCAGAAGCACTTGACAAAGCCGGGGCGCTGGTGGCAGGTGCTGGAGGACACCGCTGTGCAGCATAAGAAACCAGCTGAAATCCCTCAGGGCTCCTTGGCCTACCTGGAGCAGGCATCTGCCAATATCCCTGCACCTCTAAAGCCGACCTAACAGCACTCTGGCCTGGGATGCAGCCTGTAGTCCTGCCGGACATCTTTCCTTAAAGACGTGGTCTACAGAAGACATGGCCTACGGAAGAACTCCATTGATCATGCATCGGTGTTCGTTATTTATAAGATGGGATTGAAGTTAAGAAGCTCGGGCTGACCTTGAACCTGTGATTCTGCTGCCTCAGCCTCTTTAGTTCTCTAAATCCCTGGAGTACTTTAAACGATGCCTGAAGCTTTGATAAACCAAGTACAGTTTGTCTGTTTGTTTGTTTTAGCTCTTTAGGGAGGTTTGCACTGTGAGGATGATCACACACATTCTTACTTAGCCTTTGCCATTTATTTTGACATTTTGTCATTTTTGCGCCTTCATCTCTTTGGGGGTTTTTTAGCTGTTAATTTGGTAAAACCTGGGGCTGGAGAGATGGCTCAGAGGTTAAGAGCACTAACTGTTCTTCCAAAGGTCCTGAGTTCAATTCCCAGCAACCACATGGTGGCTCACAACCATCTACAATTCAATCTGGTGCCCTCTTCTGGCATGTAGGCAAAACACTGTATATGTAATAAATAAATAAATCTTTTTAAAAAATTTGGTAAAACCTGAAGGAAAGTATTTTTAATAGTTGAGAAGGCAGAGGACACAGAGTTTGGTGTCAGCCTTAATCATCCATGGTAGTATAGGCAAATCTGAATTTGCTGTTTGAAAATTTTTCAACTACCTCACAAGGAATCGACTCAACAATGCCGTGCTTCCCGAGTGGCACAGGGTGAGCATATTTGCAGTTGGCTCAAGAGAGGCTAAAATATGCTGCCACTGTAGTGTTACAGGAGAATGCTTGCCTTAATGTTGGATTTTTTTTTTTTTTTGGTTTTTCAAGACAGGGTTTCTCTGTCTTATTTTGGAGGCTGTCCGTCCATCCTAGCCTCGAACTTACAGAGATCAGCCTGCCTCTGCCTCCCGAGTGCTGGGATTAAAGGCGTGCGCCACCGCCGCCCGGCTTTTTTGGTCTAATGTTGGATTCTTATCTGGGGCAAGCTCTGTTTTCTGGGTCTTTCTTCTCTGTCCTGAAGGCACAAACATCGGGCGCATGTGCTGAGGGCACTCAGGCTGTGCAGTGACGCACGGTGTAAGGAATGGAGTCCCAGGAAGGCACAGTTGAGATCTGAGGGCCAAAGCGGCCTTGGATTCTCTCTGAGTTTTATATGCTTGCTACTTATTTCATTTTAGAGCAGAGTACCTCTCTTTACCCAAAACAAAACATTCCTTACCTCTTGAACAGTTAGTGCATCTCCAGCTTGGGTTTGGTCTTGTCCATTTTGGTTGCTTGACATCTGCTTCACCTGGGCACAGCCATCTGGTCTGTGAGGCTTCTGAATGCACCTTCCCTGCATCCCAGGGCTTAGCTTTTTCCTTCCTTCCTTCCTTCCTTCCTCCCTTTTTTGATCAACTTTTTTGGTTCTCCATTAGGCATAATGAATTGTGGCTGTCTCTGTTACTTGATCTATAGTATGCCCGTGAGAATTAGGCATTTCCTTGATTATGCATTATTTTATTATTTTCGTGTATGTGCTTGGTTGTATGATATTTAGCACATGGACCAGTGAGAACTAGCCTGAGGCCATCAAGTCCCCTTAATTAGAATGTATAAGTTAAACAGTGTTGAAAATATAGGCTGGGCATGGTGGCATATTTGTAACCTAGCATTTGGGAGGTAGAGGAAGGAGGATCAGAGCTGAATACCATCTTCAGCTACATAGCAAATTTTAGGCTGTTGTAGGCTACATGAGATTCTGTCTCACAAACCCCTGCAGAAAACAAACAAAACCAAAAAATACCCTCTTGATGAAGCACTGACTGTCAGCTTTACATTTTGTGTATTTCTTGGCTAAAACCTAAATAGACTGATTATATTTTGGTTTGTTTTTCAATAATAAAGGTGATGGTGAAAATAAGAAAAAGAAAGAAAATGTGGAAAAAATAAAAAGAAAAAAGAAAGTGTGTAGTGTCCACACAAAGGCAGCCCCTGTGTTATAGCAGGAACTCTGTGACATGACTGAAGCCTTCAAGGCAGGAACACTAGTCTTTTTGTTTATTTGTTTTGTTTTGTTTTGTTTTTTCAAGGCAGAGTTTCTCTTTATTGTTTTGGAGGCTGTCCTAGAACTCACTCTGTAGACCAGTCTGGCCTCGAACTCACAGAGATCCGCCTGCCTCTGCCTCCCGAGTGCTGGGATTAGAGGCGTATGTCGCCACCACCTGGCAGGAGCACTGGTGTTTAATTTAGAATCTTCAGGAAAGTTTCCTAGGGGTTGACCTTCCGTTAGTAAGGACTACTTATCACAAATAATAGTCACCACTATTATTTGCTGGCTTCATATAATGCAATGGAAAATTTTTTCCATTCTTTTTTAAAAAGTTATCTTTTTAATAATTTGATAGACTCACCAGAGAAATAACTTGAGCTTTGAGTTTTCTTTGTGAGGTTTTTGAATGTTTTTAATAAATTCAAGGCCATTTAGATTTTCTGTCTCATTCTGTGCTAGGTTTTCTAAGTTATTAAAGTTTTTCCAATTTCATCTACACTATTTGTTACGAGAAGCTTTTTCCTTGAGAAGGAGCCGTTCCGCCAGCCTGGTTCTAGAGCTGTATCAGTCCCAAATAAACACACAGGAGGCTATATTAATTATGAAGCTGTTAGCCTTGCTTGTTTCTTACTGGCTAGCTCTGACTTAAGTAATTACCCCATAATTGTTAATCTAAGTATGTCTCTTACCGGAGAGGTTTCCGGGCTTCCTACCCCAATGGCGTTACATCTCGACTCTCCTGTGTTTCTCCTTCCCAGAATCCTCCTGGATTCCTAGCCCCACCTATCTAGATTCCTATTGGCCAGACAGTGCTTTATTAGCATAAGACTTCCCCAACAACTATTGGATGCATTGGTCTAAAAGTGTTCATAAGATTCCCTTACTGCGCTTTCAGTGTTTGTAGGGTCTGTAGTAATTGCCCTTCTGCCATTCCTAGCACAGGTAATTTTCACATGTGTCATAACACACGATTACTCCATTTCTTGTTATTGTTTACTGCAATTGCATTGAATTAATAAACTACATTTTAGTCATCATCCATCAGTTGCTTTAGGTTCTTAGCGCTTTTTGGTATTTATGAATAATGCGGTTGAGAATGATCACATAAAGCTTCTAAAATGACCTCTCCAGCTGTTAAATGGGGTTGCTGTTTTGATACCTACAGGCCTCGCCAACTGATTTCCCACATCTCACTGCTGTGTGCACAGTCCAAGAGTTTCTCTTGGTTTCTGTCCTCATAGGCAAGCAGATTATATAACCTGAGCTGGATTGAGTATGGAGCAGATGCTTAAGAAAACTCAGACTTCTGGGGTGCTTGGGTAGCATGGAAGTACAGAAAAAAATCACAGCAAGGGCAGATACTTATTAACTGGTTGTAGAGTATTGCTTACAAATTCTTGTGCAACATGGTGAAGGCGGGGAACAACTCAGAGGGAACTGACTCCCACAAAGTATCCTCTGACATGATCTATGGAATGTAGGCACACGCACTTACAGGCATGTGCACACTCACAAAATCAATAAAAACGTAACGGTGTCTTTAACTATAAAGAAGCAGAAGGGACTGGGGATATAGGTAAGCAACACAGTGTTCACCTAACATGCATGAGGCCCCGGGTTCGATCCTTGGCACCAAGAAGAAGAAAAGAACATGTTGACGCAGAGAGCAACAGAAAAAAAAAAAGAATTCTTGTGCAAAACCAGGTGTGGTGGTGCCCACCTTTGATCCCAGCACTGGGGAGGCACAGGCGGGTAAACCAAACCAGCCTGTCCTGTACCAGAATAGTAAGGACTACACAGAGAAACCCTGGGTCGAACACCCTCGAACACCTGCCTCAAAAGAGAATTCTTGTACAATATGCAACTTGTCAATTCATGTTAAACAGCAAAATTTGTCTCTTGTTAGGACTGTGTTCATATTCAGAATTACTTAGCCTTGGGAATTTGGAAAAACCTTGTCACAGACTGGAAAAACATTTCTTCTGTTGGAGTTAATTTTTTCTCTCATTTTTATTCTTTGCCCATTTTATCACCACTTGCTCTAAGAGGGCATTTAGCAACCATCTTCTACTTCCTCTTAAAGGGATTGTGGGTGAAATTACTGAAAGATCTTTACATCCCATCATAGAACAGGTCTTGAATTGACTTAATGAGTATGGGAAGGAGGGAGCCAGAGGAGGTTAACTATATGTGAATTTATAGATGTTTTGGTGTCCAGAGTCCATGTAAATAATGTATTACCTCACTGTAAATATTAACTCTGCTTGAGTTTAGGTCTTTAAGTACAATTAGCAGGGGCTCTAGGGAGGTGAGAGCTGCCCTATGCTTAATGATCTTTTTAACACCAAGTACTCGGGACCCTGTAGGGAATTCCTGGAGCAGATAGTCCTTAAGCTGCAGGTCTCCAGTGATGAACAGTTTGTAAAAGAAAATGGGAAATGAGTCTTCTCTCTATAAAATGAAAAAAAATAAAACAGGCAGTAAATTCTTTCAGAATAATTACAATAATTGGCCGGCAAACTCCAGGCTTTTAAACATCCAGAAGGTAATTTTTTAAAGTAATAAAAGCAGAATCTTTGACCTCAGAGGAGGCTCAGGTTGTCCAGGGACCCACAATTCACAGTTTCCAATATGATTGCCAAACCTGCTGAGCAGCTCTCTACAAAACCTACCATGGAATACACATGTGCTCACCTCCATGTCGTCCCCCCCAAACTCCCCCCACCCCCCACCCCCACCGTTGCCCTTCTTGCCCCTGCTTGGGCTCCCAGGTCCACACCCCCTAATACAGATGTTTCCCTGTGTGTCTCCTTCCTCCTCTTCCTCCTTCAAACACTGCTTTTTGTTTTCTTTTATTTAGTTTGAAATTTTTATTAGCACTAGGTGTTGGGTTTTTTTTAATTTTTAAAATAAATTTATATATTTATTTCACAACCTGACTGCAGTTTTCCCTTCCTCTTTCCCTGTCAGTCACTCCCCCACCCCACCTCCCCTGCCCCCCCAATCCACTCCTCCTCCATTTCTGTTTAGGAAAGAGTAGGTGTCCCGTGAGTATCAACAAAACATGGCGTGTTTCTGTTTAGGGTAGACCGAGAAAAACAAACATGGTGTGTACTCACCCATAAGTGGATATTAGCTATAAAATAAAGGATAACCATGCTATCCATAGCCTTAGAGAGACTAGGTGACAAGGAGGACTCATGATGGGACACCCATATCTCCCTGGGAAGGGGAAGTAGAAAAGATTTCATGAGTGGCCAGAGTATGGGTGGGGATGGGAACATGAGGGATCAGGTCGTGGGGACGGAGGGGGCTTACTAAAAGGGACTACTGGAAAAGGGGTGCATTTGGGGGTCAGATAAAGACCTGGCTCAAGGGAATCTCCCAGGAATCTGCAAGAAAGACCCCAGCTTAACTCCTGGCAATAGCAAGCAAATGTATAGCCTGAAGTGGCCGCCTCCTGTGACCAGAATGGTACCTAGCCCAATCGTCATCAGAGAGGCACCATCCAGCAACTGATGGACACAGACGCAGACCCACAGACAAACATTAGGTAGAGTTCAGGGGATCCTGTAAAAGAGGAAGAGAAATAATTGTAGGAGCCAGAGGGGCTAAGGACACCACGAGAAAACTCACAGAATCAACTATCCTGGCCTCACAGGGACTCTCAGAGTCTGAACTGACAATTGGGGAGTCTGCATGGGGCTGACCTAGGCTCTCTGATTATATGTTACAGTTGCGCAGCTTGGTCCTCTTGTGGGACTCCTAACATCAGGAACCGGGACTGTCTCTGACTCTCTTACTGGCTTCGAGGTCCCTACTCCTCACACTGGGTCTCCTTGTCCAGCCTTACTTAATGCATGGAGGTGCTTCGTCTTACTGCACCTCGATACGCCTTGTTTTGTTTGTGCGCAAACACTGTGTTATGAGAATCAGCTACAGACCTGTCTTCCCTCGCCACCCCGGTGCCCTCACCTTTGACATCACCGCCCTTTCCGCTTCCTCTTTGCCACCTGGTGACTGTCACCGGTGTCACCCGTCTCACCTCCACCGTCACGAGTCAGCTGCTCCTCCCCTCTCCTGGAGCGCACCCGAGCCTGCCAGGCTGGGACCCTCTGGGACCTTTGTAGCCAATTCTGTGGGCTGTGGTGATGACTGCCCCAGGCTCTGGTACTGTCTGGGTGTTTTTTGCAGTTTGGGCCTCAGTTGCTTTTTTTCCTAGATGGGAGCATTTGGAAGACGAAATGAGCTAGGTTCTGAGTGAGGCATCCAGTATGTAGCAGTCATTAATTTGCACTTCATAAATAAGATCAACTGTTAAATGTACCTGCCACACAGAAGCCCCCGGGAGACCTTAGTTCTTAGGGAAGGTTCTCCATTTCACTTCCCATGATGCTTCTCCTCACCTGGAATTGGAATTCTTTATTCCACTCCACACTCACTCTATCCAGGGCTTCATAGATTTGTTTCAGAGACTAAGTAACAGACACAATATTAGTTCTCAATGCTTGGCCTTAGCTTATACTCTTTCTAGCTTTCTTTCTTTCTTTCTTTTTCTTTTTTTTTTTTTTTTTTTTTTTTTTTTTGGTTTTTCGATACAGGGTTTCTCTGTATTGTTTTGGAGGCTGTCCTGGAACTAGCTCTTGTGGACCAGGCTGGCCTCGAACTCACAGAGATCCATCTGCCTCTGCCTCCCGAGTCCTGGATTAAAAGCGTGCGCCACCAATGCCCGGCTAGCTGTTTTTCTTTAACTTAAATTAACCTGTTTCCCTTCATCTATGCTTCACCTCAGGGCTTTTTGCCTTTCTTTCTGTGTCCTACTCTTTGTCTGCTGGCTGACGGCTGCCTGGTTGGCCCTGGGCATCTCCCTGTTTTGCTCCCTCATTCTGTCTTCTCTTCTTTTTCCTCTCCTTCTTCTCCAGCCTAGACTCCTCCTATTTTTTCTTTCTGCCTACCAGTCCCACCCATCCCTCTTCTGCCTAGCTATTGGCCATTCAGCTTTTTATTAGACCAATCAGGTGCCTTAGGCAGGCAAGGTGAAACCAATACATCTCATCTTTACATAATTAAACACATGCAGCATAAGCAAATGTGACACATCTTTGCCCAGTTAAAGTGATGTTCCACACCATAGTTATCTGACTGTAATAAACATACATTGTAGGGAATCAGAACTTAGGGCATTTGCTGTATTCCTTTTCCAGGACCCACATACAACCACATGTAACTCCAGCTCCAGGTGTGAGAGCCTGCCTCTGGCCTCCTAAGCACCTGTAGTCAGGTGGGCCAACATACACAAACACACACACACACACACACACACTTAAAAAAATAAAATCTTTTTAAAACCTTGTAAATATATTTTACATGTTTAGAAAAAAAAGCTCTATTTTTTAATGGCAAATACCATTATTAACTGGTGTATAGTTTACTAGGGGAGATGTTAGCCACTGGCCAGCTGACCCACCCTTTCCTCCCCCCTCCCCTCCCCTCCTCTCTCCTCCTCCTTCCCTCCTCCCTCCCTCCCTTCTTGTTCCTTTCCCTTTTCTCACCTATGGGCATACAGTCATACTAAGAGAAACTCCTCTATGGTCAAAGGTTTCTGCTACTTGCTGATGGTGGAGATCTGTTGCTATGTGGCACCCCGTAAGATATCCCGGGCGTGCTCAGGGGTGTTTGCCCATGCCCCTTCAGCTCGCTACAGGACCACTGATGGGGCGGCCACTGGACCACCAGGAATCATGCCTCCCCTGCTGGTGCTCAGGATACAAATGTATCCTGCAAGTGATGTCACCTGAGTTCTCATGGTTCCAAACAGAGCAATAAACTACACCAAAGAGAGGCACATTCTGCACTATGGCTTCAGCCTGAGTATTTCATCACATGCGTTTCCATACAGATTTTGGATTTTTTTTTTTTTTTACTCTGAGTCTTTTTTCTGTCTTTGGAAACATATGTGAGGAGACTGGGTCAAGCATAGGCTGGAGTAACAGCCCCCACAACACTTCCCGGCACCCAGAATCTCTGTACCCAGCTTCTTCTCTGGGAACTGCACAGTTCTGTCGGGTTGCCATGCCTGGTCTCCCGGTCTCCACCCAAGCATAGTGCCTTCCTGGAAAGTTCCTCCACCCCTAACAAACACACCTCTATTGGCCCTGGCCTGCTCTTGCGTTGTGAACAACAGAAAACTAGCTCAAGTAGGGGCCAGTAAATGCTCCTACAGATAGGCCATTTGGAAATGTGTTTATAAACTGTTGGTTTTCAAGAACTGGCAACGGTGTGACAGTGATCCCTGGAGGCATAAATATGCACTCACTAAGAATGATTTAAAATAAGTCAGGCGATCACTTAAGACAATTGATTGAAAGTATTTTGTGTTGTACGGGTTTCTCCCCCACCCTTCCCCCAGAGGTCTCATAGAACTCTCCGCAGTCCCTTGCCTCTGCCTCCTGAGTGCTGGGATCACAGGCATGAGTCACCACACTTGGTGTTCATTCATTGTTTTAGCAAATCCAAGAAGAAAGACTCAAGAACCTTAGTTAGTAGAGAAGGACCAACGGACCATGATTTAGTGGCCACCATTCAAAATGATTCGGTTTGCCTGGAACTTCCACCAGCAGAATAGGAGGCAAAGGTCAGGGGGCATAGTTGGCTCCCAGGGCAACCACTGACAATTATTACCATGAAAAGCCATCAGGAAGTCGTTCTGCCCTGTCAAAAGTTCCTTGGGATCTTCTGCTCTCATTCTGCACAGAAGTAGCTTGAATGAAGCTGGAAGGAATCCCACACGGGGAGCAGGAAAACTTGGCACTTAAAAGCTCTTGACCTAAGGGCCTCGTGACCGGAGTCTGACTCCCCACCCCACCCCAAGCCCATACAAGAGGAGAGAACTGATTCCTGCAACTTGTCCCCTGACCTCCACGTGCATTCCGTGGCACAAATGCACAGACGCACACACAGTGACAATAAATAAAAGGTTGAGGATCTTGTCGTTGCCGCTATTTTAAAGAATCCTATATAACCTCAGAAAAACAGGCTCTAGGCACCCAATGCTACGTAAAAGGCTGAATCTTTTAAAGGCTAGGAAAATGCAAATTTGGGTGCTCACAAGGTTCAAAGTGCCATTCAGTCACTCAGCTAATCACCAATGTCTGTGTTGTTGTTGATGATGATAATGATATGTTGTTTGGCTTGGCTTTTTGAGACAGGATGTCACTCTGTAGTCCTGCCCGGCTAGAACTCACTCACTGCATGAAAGGTTGGCATCTGAGATTATCCTTATGGCTCTGCCTTCCTGAGTACTAGGGTTCTAAGGGTGTCCAATTATGCCAGTTTTCTGCTTTGTTTTCTGTGTGGAAAGGTCACACTGTGTACCCTGGGCTAGCCTGGAACTCACTATATACCAGGTTGGTCTTGAACCTAGACAGCTCTGACTTTGCCCCTCTTACAAGTGGTACCAACACATGAGCTATCCTTAAACATCTACAATTAGTGCCAGGTACTGCAGGGACCAAAGAAAAAGTCAGCATAGGACACACCAAGACCAAGTTCTCAGCACCAAGAAGATGTATTTGTTCCAGAGGGACAAAGGACAGGGATAAGGGACAGAGACAGGAGATGGAGGAAGAGGGAGAAGGGGAGGACTGCCTCTGGATAGAGAGGAGACAGATGGGACCAACAGGCAGATGGCAGTTTATAAAGGGAAAGGAGGAAACCCCAGGTAGGCTGACTTGGTATGTTTTGATTGGGCATGGTATAGTCAAAGGCCGGGGGCCTTTGATTGCTGGACTTCAATCCTTTGATAGCTGGACCTTGGTGATCAGCCTCAGGAGAAGGAAGTGGCCAAACAAGGGACTAGAACTTGGTAGCTGGCTTTAGGAATGTAATCTAGAAGTTTAACAAGGAAGCCTGGTGGGGGAGGGAAAGACCTGTCAAAGCCGTGTCTGTGGTGCCCGGCGGCTCGAGTACCTTCAGACACTGCGATGCACACTCAGGATTCAGCTGGGAGTAAACGCAGCCCCAGTACTTAATTCACGGGCTGGAATGAATGAGAGGAAAGGGAAACTCCAAGTTACAATATTGATGTCATTTTGTTTCGTTTTCCGTACTTGCTTCCCGTCTCCCTTTTAACACAGTCCCTGGCCAGGTCAATCCCATTAGCATGTGCAGAGCCCACTGATCTAGGGCCAGGGTGTAGCTCAATAACAGAACGTTTGCCCGGAATACCTGAGGCCCTGGCTTCAACACCCAATATTGCCCCACCACACTAATGGAGCTAGCCAATTGGCTAGGCTGACTGAACAGCACCCCCAGGGGATCCGCTTGTCTCCACCCTGCCAGCAGTCAGCAGAGTCCAATGACCTAGGGAAGCCTGTACCTCCCGGAGTGTCCCCAACCACGCTACAGTGCTAGTCAAGGTGTCTGAGGACTCTGTGGAGGTCAGCGCTCTTGTCTAATGACTTCTCCTTCCCATGTGTGTCTGTGAGGCCTGACAGGGCAGCACTACCTCAGTCCTCATGCCAGCCGTAAGCCCTACTGTGTGCCCGGTGTCTCCAGCACTAATCTCTTATACTCACTGAACATCAGAGTTGATTAACTTTCGCCCAAACCTAATAACTGATCTGTCACAGGGCTCAGACTGAAAACTAAGACTTCTTAGTTAGAAGGGAGCTAGCCAAGAGTAGAGTGAGTGATGCCTGTGATCCAGGCAGAAGTTTTGATCTAAAGATAGTATGCAGCCCCCTTTTCCTACAAATATGCAAACCAAACTGCTGGTTTCTTTGCACACACCTGGGTGACATTCAGAATAAGCCCAGAGAACCCACTTCTGACTTGAGGGGTAAGAGGAGAAGAGACAGCCCTCCACCGTAGGCACCCCATCCCACCTGTACGGTGTTAAGCTTGCCTTGACACATCCTTCTGCAAGAACTGGTCTGTGGCACACACTCACATACTGAAGTGCCTGGGGCATCACTGCTCTGTGGCTGCCTTTGACACTTCCTGAAAAGTGACCTTCAGCAAAGTCATTAAAATCAGTCTAGCGACTTCCTGTTGGGGCCTTTGTCACTCCGGCTCCCCAAAAGAGGCACTGCCAAAATTTATTGATCCAAATCTTGCTCTCCAAAATGTATTGATCCAAATCACACTCACCCGGGAAGGAAGAAGAAAATACAGCTTGCAATTTGCTATGTAACACCCTGGCTAATTAAAAGAGGGATCACCATTCACACTGTCGGGGAACAACAGGAGGAGAGAGGACCGTTTGGTGTGGAAACTGCATGTCCGATGCCATCAGTCCCCCACCCTTTTTCCTTTAGGAAAAGTCAGATTTCATCCTGCTGGGTATTGTGGATATCAGAGTGGGTGACTGGAGGCCATTTGTACTTCTTGTCTCTATAGGAACAGAATTAAAAATATGTTCTGGGTGTCTGCAAACAAGCCCAGTGCACACAATGCTGCTCAAAAAAATGAAGTTTAGCCGGTCATCCTGGTGCTAACAAGAATTTATATTTTAGCTTTAAAGTCAGAAGTGGGGACCAGAGAGAAGGCTCTGTGGGTGAAAGTGGTTGCCACCAAGTCTGGCCACCTGGTTTCTATCCCCAGGACCCACACGGTGGAAGAAGAGAAGCAACTCTTGACTTCCGTGTGCACGGTGCGGCATTCATGCGTGCAAACAGGAATGCATAAATAAGTAAAGAAATGCTTTGTTTAACTGGAAGCAGGTTTAATTCTCTAGAAAGCTTTAGTCCCATCTTAGACTTTTATTTTTTCCTTTCTTATCCTCCAGTGATCTCTCTGGGGAATAAAATTATGATGTCTTAGGGGACCAGTAGTCAAAACCCCTGATTCTAACTTACTCAGGATGATGGACATTTGGGTCCTTGAGGCCAGTGGGGATCTTATCTTGCCTGCACTCAGCAAGAAACTGCCCACATTTTCAGTGGTAACAAGAGCTTCCAGGGCCTTGAAAAGAACCCCAAAAAGGGACATGCCACACTGTTCCCGGATCTTGTTGCTAGCTCAGAGTAACTCCCCCACTTGCCAAGTGCAGCTCGCCGGTCCCCCCCCACAGCCCCCCCCCCAGCCTCCCTGCCTCCAGGTGCCCCGTTCTGGGACCTGGCCTGACCTGCCCTCGTTCCTCTCTCAGACTTCGGCATATTTATCAAGTTTTCCACTCCTTAAAAGAATAACTGGGCTGCCGGTAGCCTGAGTCCCTGGCTGAAACCCAAGGGAGCCTCTCAGCCGCCCCCCGCAACTGTTCAGTGATCTGAATACACCCCAGTGGCTGAGAAGGTAGGAGTAATTAACCGCAACGGCGGACGGACGGATCATTCTCTCCAAAGGCAACAGCAGCAAAAGGCCGAGCGTATGGAGCTGTGGCCATGCTTGTTTGTCTGCATCTGACAGAGAGTAGTTTGTCCTTTCACCAACAGCAATGAGGGCTTCCTGAGTGCACAGTAATAGCATGGCTTTGGATTAAGCCCACCTCGGGCATTTCACAATGCGGAGGATGCAAAACCTCTAGCCTCAGCGAGCACACCTACACACCGAGAGGCGAGACCTGACAGTTAATTAGCAAATATTTATGGCGTTCCTCTTTGGCCTTGGCGTTTTGCTAGAAGCTTGTACATCACATCTCAGAAACCTAGCATGGCTATGGAGGAGAGAGTGCTTCCGCACCCCCCCACACACACACACACACCCTGCCCCCAGACACTCCCTGTTCCCTTAGCATAACTAGAAGTTTCCAACCAGGAACAGTATCTGCCCTCCAAGGAGTGTTTGGGAATGTGTGAGTGCATTTGCTGTTTGCTTTTGGCTGTTAACAAACCAGCATTTATTGGGTGGCATGCAGGAAAGCTAACGCCTGACGGAGTGCCAGCCAGTTCTTCACAACCCAAAATGTTCCTTCACACTCAGAATGCCAATAAAATTCTACTGGAAGCTATAAAAATTCCTCAGAGCCTCAAGGATACCTCAGTCCGAGACCCTCCCCCACTGCGGGGAATCCTTTGTGGACGGTGGGTGACAGGTGCAGAAAGCCAGGTCCAGCCAGGCTAACACAAATAATCCGGAAGCCCCAGGACCCCGGGCATTGAGGACGAAGTGTTAGTGGTCTGTTTGACTAAATACAAGAGAATCAGTTCTTTCATGGTTGTCATTAAGTTAATTATTTGTGGAAGAATTTAAGCAATGCTGTAGGTTTAGCATAGTATTTGGCACTTGTTTTCAACTCAGTGATCTCATCGGCACAATTGTTCTCCGGGATTATTTTTCATTAAAAACTATGACCAATTGAGAGGACCACAAACTGGGTGGTGGTGACTCACGCCTTTAGTCCCAGCACTCTGGAGGCAGAGAGGTGGGTCTCTAAGTTCAAGACCAGCCTGGTCTACAGAATGAGTTCCAAACAACCAGGGTGACACAGAGAAACCCTGTCTCAAAAAACAAAATGAAAAAAAAGAAAGGAAAGGAAAGACAGGAAGGAGGGAAGGAATGGAGGGAGGGAGAGAGGGAGGGAGGGAGGGAGAGAGGGAGGGAGGGAGGGAGGACCACAAAGAATGAAAGAACTTGGATAGGCCTGCACAGGTCCCCATGCTGCCTGCCTGAGGCATCCCCAGATGGACTGATTCATGCCCCATTTCCTGCAGGCTGTCAAGCAGAAGCCATTGAAGGAAAGTCTGAAAACACAGGGGGGAAATGGAATAAGCTATGACTGACCAAGGCATAGGAGTAGGACAAAGAGAGAATGAGACCCAGAAGAGGCAGAGTATGGGCGCCTTGGTGTCACTTTGCAAGGCAGAGCAGGACATTTGGAGAAACACATCATCGAGATCAAACCCATTTGGAGCAATGCTTGTCCACACCTGAGCAGCAACCTCTGAAAGCGGCAACTGGCTCCAAGGAGGGCTGAGGAAAGCTCAGGATTCCCTGAGGGAACATGAGCCAAGTCTTCATTCACTCACCAAGGAGATTAAGCCAGTTTCAAGAAGAAAAAAGTAAAAGTTGGTGCAGAACGGTCTGGGAGCTTCCGTGTCCGTTTCTGGGCAGGAGGACAAGTTCAGATTGCAATCTAGGCAGACTGGGGTCTGCTGAGAAGAGATGCGGAGCTGAAAGGCTCGTGGCAGGTGATCTTGGAGATGCCTAGACGAGCTGGTAATAGAAACAGGAGATGTTTCAACGTAAGTCCTGCAGGGTGACCCTGGAAAAGGGCCTTCATCTCTCTCAGGGCCAGCCTCCTCATCCTTTTTTTAACCTCCTCAACTTTAAATGTAGATATTTACCTTGTCCACCTAAAAAAGATAAGAAATGCTGAATAGAAATAGCAATACTAATGTGCAAATGATCAACCGATAGTAGGAGTTATTAGTTGAGCCCTGCCCCCAGGACACTCTGTGATAGCTTCTTCTAATCTAAATTAAAACCACTTTCTGGTCTTTTCAACTATGTGGCCTTTATGTATATATCCTCCCAAAGCAGTGGTTACAGAATAGGTTATCAGAAGTGTTACCATAAGGTATCTGTCATACCATATCAGTTGAAGCTTTATGGTGACAAGGAACAGAAAACTCATTCAAGCTGCTTGGAACAAAAAGTGGGAGGATTTCTCCCCTTCAAAATGAACAAAATACAAAAAGAGGACACAGCAGGCTTTAGCTATGTGGCTGTATTTGTGTTTTAAACAATACCATTGGAACTTGCTCCCGCACGTCCCTTAAAGAAATAACCCACTCATGGTGGCCTGTGGACCCAGTATCCAGACAGTCAGACTCAAGCCCTGAACAAGACTCAAGACATAATCTGAGTACAGCGAACGAACGGGCTTCCCTAACAATCTTCGTGGCTAAGGAGATCCGGTTCTCTGATTGGCCTGGGAGTCCTGGGGGAGGGGCACTCGCTGAAGGACAAGCCTGAGAAGGGGGGGGGCACATAAAGAGAATGCAGGCCAGTAGGCATAAAGGACAACTCCAAATTTCACACACACTGCAGGGCCTGTCTGGATTCTTCCAGGGCTACCCAGACGGTGGTCAGCGGTCTCCCACTACGTGAGCCATGATCTTGGTTTGGAATTTCTCGACATGCAGCTTTTTTTTTAATGTTGATCCCGAGTCCAGCCCAAGAGCCTAGATGTTTAGCAAGTGTCTCATGCAGCCGTGACCCACAGCTGGATCACATGAGATACTTTCCAAGGGACCCCTTTCCGTGTACAGCACCACCCATCGGATAGACTCAGAGCTACTATGATGCCTTTGCTCTCCTCCCTGCACTGTGCCTTCTAAATAGCGTCCTTCCCTTCTGTGTATGTTCAGGTCGCCACTTTCAGCCCAGGTGTGCTAGCTTATATTTAGCCGTATTAAATCTCGTCACGTCTGCTTCCCTTCCTCACTGGGTTTGCCAAATCCGAGCACAACTTAATCCGTAATCATCCTCCCTCCTCCCTCCTTTCCTCCCTCCCTCCCTCTTTCACTTTCTTCTTTTCTTTTCTCTCCCAAAGAGATTAAAATATTCTCTTCTGGCATTTTGACTATTTAGCCAATGACACTCAAAGAACGGCAGGTACCAAAAGGTCACTTTGAACTTTATGCACTTTTTATTGGGAGCAAAAGGTGAGACTCTCATATCAAAACTCTCCCTATACTGGGAAGATGGCCCATCCTCACCGCAAAGATGAGAAGTCAAGAGCGAAAGGATTCTGTGACCTTGGTCGGGTAATCCCATCGTTCCAGCCTCCCCACACAATGTAGCTGCTTCCTTAACTGATTAATCTTTATGAATGCAGTGTAGAAAATATGATGTGAGCCACAATCCACACAGACAGCAATCTCAAAGGCTGAAATTGCAAATGAGCTGGGCACGGTGACACAACCTTTTAATCCCAGCTCAACAGGTGGATCTCTGTGAGTTCAAGGCCAGCCCGGTCTACATAACGAGTTCCAGTTCTGCCAGAGTTGCATAATAAAGAAAACGTGTCTCAAAATAAGAATGCAAAAGGACAAACATTTTCAAGAGCAAAATCTTGAAAGGGAAAAAAATTTCCAAAACTAAAGTTTGGGGGGGCAGGAATAAAACAGTTTTTTGTTTTGCTTTGTGTTTTACAGTGTTAAAGACTGAACTCAACTTCATATACACTAGTTAAGCACTCTACCCCAGGGCCACAAGGGTTCTTTGTTTTAAGCAATTCTTGAATTTTAGATTATAATACAATTATACCATTTCCCCCTTCCCTTTCCTCCCTCCAACCCTTGCCAAGGAACACTCCCATTCTCTTTCAAACTCATGGCCTTCATTTCTTTAATTGTTTCTGATGTTCCCAATAAATAAATACTGCCTGCTCAGTCTGTAGCATGGTGTGTGTGTGTGTGTGTGTGTGCGCGCGCGCGCGCGTGCGTGCGTGCGTGTGTGTGTGTGTGTGTGTGTGTGTGTGTGTGTGTGTGTGTGTGTGTGTGTGTCTTTAGGGCTGGCCATTTGGCATTGATAATCAATTGGTTTGCTCTTCCCAAACTGAATGGTTCTTTAAATCGTCACTTAGAGTTGGTGAGAGAGTTCAGTGGTAAGTGCTAAGCCTAGGCTGGTGACCTGAGTTCCATCCTTGAAACACACAGGTGGAGAGAATTGGCTCTGCAAAGTAAGCTCCTGACCTCCTGACCCCTTTTGTCATGAAATGTACATGCCCACGAACACAAGTAAGCATAATACTTTTTCCAATTAAAAAATTTTAAATATTCTTTTGCATTTTTATCTTAATTTCTGTGGTGTTTCAAATGGAATCCAGGGCCTCACTCAGGCTAACCAAACTGTCTACCCTCAGGCTACATACCCAGTTCTACATTTTATTAGTTGCATTATTTTTAACTATGTGGAGGTGTGAGTGCCTGCATTTGGGTGTGTGCAAAATGAGTATAGGTTCCCTCAGAGGCAGACGCATCAGATCCCCTGGAGATGGTTGTGAGCCTTGTGACAGGTGCCGAGAGCCAAACCCACGTCCTCTAGAAGGGCAGCAAGTGCTCTTAACCACTGAGCTCCAGTCCGGAGCCCTGTATTTTAAAAATAGAATTTACTTGAGAAACAAAGATATAACCAAATATTTCATAGGCTGCTTTATATAATAAAATAGGCAATAATAATAACACTTAGCAACCATGAACACTGAGATATACTAGTAACAGTTGGGTGAGTATACAGTTCTGAACAGGTGAACCATATTCCCAGAGAAGTGTGTGTGTGTGTGTGTGTGTGTGTGTGTGTGTGTGTGTGTGTGTGACAAGGCCGGGTCTACACACACACCACTACAATGGGTGCTGTGTGCATCCAACTTTTGACCTGTAGTCACTTGGGATACTGCAACAGACAACCTCAGCATTTGATGGCATATTCAAAAAACACCATAACAATCACAATTTACCAGAGAGCTGAGACCTTGAGAAATTATATCTTCCACAAATGTAGAGAAAGGACATCGCTTTTTTTTATGTCCCTTTTTAGAATATTTCAACATTTTTCATGTGCCGGTATAATACTTTCACACAAGGTCAACACACTGTGGTAATTCACTTGCTTCAAGTCAAATTTGCCAAAGCGTATAATGAGAATTATCGTTCTCTCCTACCCTTCACACCTCCAAGTGACTTTAAACTCAACCATGGGGACTCCTGGCACTGGAAATAGTACAAAAATGAAATGCATAGTACGGCAAATCACTTTTTAAACAGCTCACAATGTTATAGGAAAGGAAAGAGGGGTGTGGGAAATAAGAAGGCCAGAGAAACGTAACCTTTTGAAAAAAATAAAACCAAGGATGATTTTTAAAGATACAAAAAAAAGTGTACTTTTAGCGATAGGTTACAGGTAAATACACAGAGGGAAGCCACTGAGAGTTGGGCAAACTCGTAATCATCAAAGATATTTATTAACGTGAGGTCAAGACAGCTGCTCTGTTGTTGGAAGGCATTGGTCTCTGTGGAGAATACATTGACGTCATTTCCCCTCATGAATTTCTTCTATGACCTGATAATACACATTTACTCTGGATTTCTTGTCTTTTCTATGGTCACTGTACATAGAAACCTCCAGATACACACACACAAAACCACAGATTGGGTGCAGCCAGCGTAGGCATGGAAGAGCAGTCCCCTCGGCCCACCACAAGCCTCGGTGTTTGCCGATCAGTGATTTCACTGCCTCCTAAAAGGTTAAAACAGCTTGAAGGCATTAAAAGCTCCCAGAAGTTCACCAACTAGGGACATAGACAAATGACATTTTAAACTGAAGGTTTTTATCATTGTTGAATTGTGTAGCTAATCCTTCTCTAGAATTTGGCTTTCTCTAGCACACAGAATAGACAGAGGCACACAGAGAGAGAGAGAGAGAGACAGACAGACAGACACAGAGAGAAAGAGACAGAGACAGAGGCCAGGTGGTACTGGCACACGCCTTTAGTTCCTGCACTTGAGAGGCAGAGGCAAGCAGATCTCTGAGTTCAAGGCCAGCCTGGTCTACAGATTGAGTTCCAGGACAGCCAGGGTACACAGAGAAACCCTGTCTTAAAAATTAAAAAAAAAAAAAAAGAAAAGGAAAGAAGGAAGGAAGGAAGGAAAAGAGAAGAGATTAGAGAGACACACAAATGCCTACACAAGAAGAGACAGACACACACGAACACACAGAGACACACACATACATGCACAGAAACAGGTAGAATGATACAGAGAGACAAACACATGCTCACACACACACACACACACACACACACACACACACACACACGATATCTAGGGGTTTCAGGATTTGGGCTTTCACAGTTAAAAATCTGGGATTTTGCTGGGCAGTGGTGGCGCACGCCTTTAATCCCAGCACTTGGGAAGCAGAGGCAGGCGGATCTCTGTGAGTTCAAGGCCGGGCTGGACCGACAGCCTCCAAAACAATACAGAGAACCCTGTCTCGTAAAACCAAAAAAAAAAAAAAAATCTGGGATTTTAATCTTTCATGATTATGATTTTATTTGAATGACTCTAGATTTTTACAAAATTTGATCTTTTAGGATTTTAACAATTGAGATTATGGTATAATGCATCATAACTTTCATGATTATAATGGACACTAATGAGTAATAACGAACTACTTTTTTGGGTCTCTATTTCTTTACAAGAGTCCC